AAATAAATAAATAAATAAATAAATAAAAATAAGCAAGGGTGGACATATTCTAAGGAGTGTGCATGTAAGGGGTATTACAATCTCACCTCTCTGGATGAATGCTAACCCATGTTTTAAACCCATGTGTTTAGCAAAGACATCAAAAGGATCAAGGGAAAGAGAAAGCTGGGAAACAGTTGTACGCTGATAGGACTTTGAGTATATTCCCCAGCCTTTAAACTGTTGTAGCCCTCTCACATGCTGTGGCTCTGTGGGTGTGTAGTATCCGTAGGCTGTAGGTCAACAAGCCCTCTGAGCTCCATCCATCTTCTTACTTTCCGAAGCAATATCTACTAGATTATCTCAAGATAGTACTCAGAGAACAATGCTCATGTTCACATGATTGACTTCACTCTTCCCAGGGCTGGCTACTCTTTATTAGTTGATGTCCAATACCTTCAAAGCATTATGTCATAGGCTGCATTTAGTGTTACTTTAGGCAGGTAAGAGGTTGATTGGAGTTGCTCACTGTCTCAAATTAGTAAGAAGTGAAAACTTTTCTTGTATCTTGGCTCTGTGTGCTCCTTAGCTCTGTGTGCTCCCATCAAGAGAGTGCTTTCACATTTAGATGGACTCAGGGTTCTCCAGGCTCCTCCTGTGCTGTCCTGTACCTGTCAATCACTGCTCCCAGGAAACATTGCCTCTTCTTCTGAACAACAGAGAGCCACAAGGCCTTGGAGTCCACATCTCTGCTATTGGTGGGATAATGTTCCCCATGTAAGCTCTTCCTCCTTGAAAATTTTGAATTTTGCCTACAGGTTTTGATCAATTTCACTTTACCATTGAAACTGAGTATTTTACTATCATTAATCTTAGATTTGGTCATACTTGGTTAATTTTACATAATTACATTCTTTCAATATGTTTACTTAGACTTTCTGTTATGTTCGGAGAAGTTTTAGGCTTTATTTATTTATTTTGTATTTTTTGTATTTTTTAGGGAAGGGTCTACAGGGTGTTCAGGGTCTCACTACTAGATCGGACTCGTAGTGACTACCTGTTTAAAGCCTCCCAAGAGCTAGGATTACAGGCGCGTCACCTTGACCATTCTCAATTATGGTCACTCCAGGGGCAGGGTCAGCATGGGGGGCCCGAGGGATCCAACCCCCTGCCCTCCGTACCTGCTTGCAGGTGCTTTAATCCACTGAGCTATTTGACCAGGCTTTAAACATTAACTGTTTAGTTTTTGTTTTTATTTTCATGGTTTTAATTATGAATATTGTTACTATTTTTCTACATAGTAGAGATAATAACCTTTCTTTCAAAATAATCCTGTTTTCATTAATTCTACATTTTTAAGATTTTATATTGTAGATAAGATGCTTTCCAATTTTCCCAAGTATGTTTTGAAGTGAATATTTATTTATTTATTTATTTATTTATTTAT